TGTATGTATTAGCTAGTGACTCTGCTCTAAGAAGATCTAAGTAGAGGAGATAGACAAGAAAAGTAACAAGTATTAGTTACTGCACTGTTAGCATAGACATGGTGCTTTGTGATAACAAAGAATATTTGCACAAATGAGTTCTCCAACAGGCAGAACTTCTGAGTATGGATTAGTCACAGGATCAGCCCAGATTCAAGGGGAGGGGAACTAGAGCCCACCTCTCAATGGGAGCATGGCAAAGAGTTTATGATTTTCTTTAATATGCTGTAAGTATAAGTTAATAAGAGCACCTGGCACATAGTAAGTAAATAGTAAATGTTAGCTATGATGAGTGCCGTTATTTTACCTTTTCTGAACAGTAGATGAACCTTGGCATTTACTGTTCCCTCTACTTGGGAAACTCTTCCCTGGGATGGATGGTTGGATGGATGAATGGATGGATGGACGGACGGACGGACAAACGGATGGAAAGAAGGAAGGAAGAAATGGACATCACTCTCTTAGTTCTGGTATCTGTTCAAATATCAATCAGAGTTGCTTCTCCTGATTACCCTATATGAAATAGCATCCACACTACCATCTTGCCTCCATCAACTCTCTCACTTACTCTAGCTTTATTTTTTCTTCATAGTACATATCACCATCTACATTATGTATTTATTGTCTGTCTTCATTAGAGTAGAGCATTTGTTTTGTTCAGTGCTGTATACTCATCACCCAACTCTTGGCACATAGTAGGTGTTTAATGCATATATGGTGAATGAATAAATGAATGAACCAAAAAACCCCAACTCATTTACTAAAGGCATTTTGACATAACTTTTAGGATACAATGCATTGAAAGACTATGTGCATTCATTTCAAAATGACCTTAGCCACAGTATTCATACTTAATGCTGCCATCAGTTATGCTCCCATGAGAGCTGACCATCAGAGTATGTGTGCTCTTGAGAAGCACGGACAGTATCATCATCTTAAGCTTCTTGGCAGTGGTGCATCCCTAAGTGGATGATGAACTCATGGGTGTAGAGGGCACACCTTCCACTGCTTTTGTATTCTGCTTCTCAGCAAATAAATATTACAGTATTGTATATTTAACTTGAGCATCATAAATGTCTAATGATTAGATCAGAAGATAGGACTCTGGAATCCAGTTTTCCAAGATAATTTCTCACCTTGTTTTTGTTAGGTAATGAAGATACCTTATTGACTGTTGAAATATACCTACTCAACATGCTTGCCTTATAGTAATCTTCTTATCAAATTACCATCTTCTCACTTTTTCTAGAAATGAGAATCCCTCTTTGCCTCCGTTCAAAGTGAGACTACTCTATAGGTAGGAAATTTCTGGTGACCTAGGTTTGTTTGTTTTTTCTTTTTAAAAAAATGTTAAATGCTGTTAGATATACAGGAGTTGCAAAGATTAAGTAGAGTTCCTATAGACCCCACATGTACCCACTTTCCCCTCTTGTTAACTCTTACATGACTGAGGCACATTTGTCACAACTAATGAACCAATATTGCTATATTATAATGAACTAAAGTCCATGCTATATTCCAGGGTGACACAGTTTTAAAGGCTATTTCCAATAATTTCTAAAAAGTGGAAATCAGTATGTAATGTACACACCAGGTAGTGGCTTCCTGATTCTTAAAAGAAACAAAGTAACTTTGTAACCCATGGTTCTCATCAGGAAATAAAGGGCTTATAATAATGTGGGTTTAACATCCGAGTGTAGGAATCTTATAGCTTAACATTTTATTTGTAAATTGGATATTAGTCAAGGTGGCAGGATGGAGTTTAATCACTATTAAAGCTGTTTTGTTGTTGTTTGGAAAAACATGATACTATGACATGGTTCGTTCTTTGTAGATAATCTGTCCTAAGATCACTGGACAGAAAAGGGCTGCCCTGGAATAGGGAACATGCCCTCCTGGGACTCAGTGGGGACTCAGTATAGGACACAGAAGAAGCACCATTGGGTAAGAGGCTAATTTCTGCAATTCAGATTGGTACCAATTTAATTTAATTCTTTTCTTCAGGACTATCCAATTTAAGATTTAATTTTGTACCAAAACATATTAGAGAGATCGTTATTTTGCTGCTTCAGGGGAACCTTTTAATCAGCTTTAGTGCAATCCTGAGTAAAGTAAAAATTTTATCCTATCTCTCTTTTAGGGCTTTTCTCGTTTGCCATCCTCAAAGCAGAAAAAGCAGCAGCGAAGCAGTACTCCTTCTTAAAGACTCTGCTTTTATTAAATTTTCTTCAATAATCCTCTTCCAGCCTTTCTTTTTACTGCATTATTTGAACCATAAAATAAATAAAAATTGTACTCAAATGAAAATTTAAAATTAATGAAGCTTTGAAACATCCCAAATCTTGGAATATATTTTTTCCCTAGTTTATTTTTTAAATTCTAGAAAGTAGGCCTGTAGAAATACCCACTTTAATTGGTTTAATTAGAAATGGAAAATTATAGGAGTAACTCAATTTGAGGTGTACATTTAAATAAGAAGAATTATACTGGGATTAATATCATTTAAGGGTTTGAATTTAAATAAGATGTGTTTAAGTATAGCTTGTAATTTCTTCTTGAAAAGTTTTAATAGAGAGGAGGCCTAAGTGTTGGAATATATCAATATATAGGGGAAATTTTGCCATGAAATATAATACTTGACAAGGAAATCATTTTAGAACTGTGTTTCTTCAATGGTATGATGAAGAATATTATTCTACAGCATTTTAATAGATATGTCTTGGGGGTGTGTGTGTGGGGGGGAGGGGCGTATTCTCTGCCCGAGTAAGTTTGAGAAATATTAAGATAAACAAATTTAAGGAGTTGCCCGCATGACTTCTCAGAGCCTCCAACGTTTTCTGAATTTTTAAGAGAGGGCATGTATAGTGTACCCTATCTCCCCAACTTATTTATCCCTAGATACCTAATAACATTTTTCGGGAAAATGTTTTGAGTATACATACACGTAATCTGTTTTAGGAATTTATACCTTTGAAAAAGTTGAGGACTTGTTTTTCTCAGCTATAGGGATGATGTGATATCATTCACACATGTTGCTTCTCCCAGTTCTATACTTTCAAGATATTTTCCCGGTGTTTATTATGAAGGCATTATAACCCTGTGCTCACTATCTTCCTTCCGTTAACTAAAGCGTGATTTCCAAATATGACTGCATGTCAGATATGCCTGAGCTTTTTTAAAAGATTAAGATTCCTGGGCCCTGACCCTGGAGATTCTAATTGAGTAGAGATGTCACTGTGCTCAGGATTCGGGATTTACTTTAAACATCCAGGTGATTCTGATGCTGCCAGCACTGGTACTACAATTGGTGCTTTGGAACTATTGAATTAAAAGTGTGCATGTTTTAGATGGGTAATTGGATTGAGGTGCCGTTAGTGTGTGGTCACAGAACACATGGGTTAACCAACCCGTACTGGAGACCTCCAGTAACCCTCTTGGGTGATGTGCTGGCCACAACCTAATGTGAAACAATTGCTATTATCCTTTAAGTAAAGCAGAGTACCCCTAAGGGAGCTTTTCGTCACCTTCCTAAGAAGGAAGTACTGTGTATAAGACTACCACTTGAGTAGCTTCCTTGTGGATGGTATTTTATTTACACTTTAAAAAAGAAGTACTAGTTTATACTTACTCATGGTGCCATCTAAGAATATATTCTCTCCCGTTCTTCTGCTGATAACAGAGGGACATTTAACCGTAAGAAGTAAATACACCAAGATTCTATCTCATTTACATTTTGATTTATGTGAGCACTGATAATAGCTTTTCTACTAAAACTATATGGTTATATTTTCTGCCTGGTATAACAATTACATGTTCCTGGAAATTCTCTTTTCGCAACCTGCAAATATAGCTGGAAAGGAACAATATAAATAATTAGTAATGGTTGCAGAGGCAACTAGTCTTAACCTATCTTGATTGAATAATGTTCTGTTGGTAATAATATATGATATGAAACAACTAGACACAGCAGTTAAAAGTAGGAAATACCCACCACTGTTTTAAAATTATTCTGCAAGACCTTGCCAATGCAGTGAGGCATGAAACAGAAATAAAAGTTGTAATTATTGAAATTTGGAGACAAATTTTTCATTACGTGCAAACAAAATCATATGCATTGAAAACCTGAGAAAAGTTAAAAAATAAAATTAATATGTTTAATCAACTGATTAGATATCAGAGGTATCCAAAATCCACATTCCTTTGTATACAAACATGGTTTAATATCGTATACAGTCTTGTTATTTCTATTTACTTTATTGGTTCACAGTGAAATAACAAATAGAAAAATTATTTGCGTTGTCAGGTTAGAGAATCAGGTGAGAGAGCAGTGCCATAAAAACTAAGGGAGAAAAATGTTGTAAGGAGGGCTTAACCACCATAGTGAACGCCATGGAGACATTAGGATTCAATGAAAGTGAATCTTATGGATGCTCTGCTGGTCTGGAGATCACTGGCTTCCTTGGTCAGAGCCATGTTGGTGACGTAAAGGAAAAGGAAGCCAGACCCAAGTGGTTGAAGAAGGAATGTAATGTAAGAGCCAAGACATTTGTTTGAGTTTGTAATTGGAAAAAAAAAAAGTTTCAGAATTCTGTTGCTGTTGCTCTTTTGTCATTTTGTTTATTTTCAGAACCCTTCATTATTTTCCACATGAGACTAGAAACTCCCAAAGGCAGGCTCTGCTTCTGTGAGCCCAGCAGTGCATGATACTGCCTGGAATGTGTGAGGCACTCGCTGGCTCGATGTTTAATTCATGACTGCAAATGAAAGTTTGAAAACGGGATAGGGGGCAAAATACAGAATACATTTCAGGGCATTCTCATGTATTCCACTAGGTGGCCCTTGCTTTGAGCCATGCTGCTGTCCCTATGCCAACTGGAGTAGTTAGGCTGCTGCCTCACCTTCCTGTCTCTCCTCCCCAATTTCGCTGCCTTTATTCATGGCCTGCTTTGGGCTTCTTTACAGCTATGAGACCTACGGAGTGGAACCCCGCGAGGCTTCTCCTGTAGGGCGTGTGATGAGGAGGAGAGTTTGGCTTTGGAGTGCTCGGAACCAGAGGAAGTGCCGAGGACTCGGAGCCCAGCCCTGACCGTGAGAGAGCCCCCACACAATGAACAAACTGAGCTTCCACAACAACAGAGTCATGCAAGACCGCCGGAGTGTGTGTATTTTCCTCCCCAACGACGAGTCTCTGAACATCATCATAAATGTGAGTAGATCCCACTTTAGAAACGTTTAAATAATTGTGTGCCCACCATTGACCACAGTCAAGTTCTGACTTGGTTAAGGGTGAAATCATTACAGAGTAAGGCCGTTAATAATGTGGTGGATTGGGATAGTAAAGTAGCCTACACAGGTATAAACTTTGAATTACGGCCTAAGTGCACCTGCCTTCAACGTTCTCTCGCCTGGGGTAGAATTAGAGAATTTTAGTTACTATATGTTATAGAAAAACAAACTCTTGGCTACTTTGAAACATTTTATTGAAATGTAATTTTTATTGATATGTAATATGAATTTGCCATTTAAAGACTTTTGAGGGGCCGGCCGAGTGGCTCAGTTGGTTAAGAACTCACTCAAGAGTTTGAGCTCTGAGCAACAGCAGTTCAAGTCCAGCCCAAGCTGAGCAGCCGCTGAGCTGCCAACAGGTAGCAGGATGGCTCAGCTCAAAAAAAACAAAAAAGACTTTTGAGTTGTGCCTGCACACATGAAATGGTAGTAATTGGCTAGCTTTTTAATAGGCATCTTGATCGTTGTTTTAATAGTAACCTAAACCTAGCCATTTTCAAGAATACGCTGTCTGTGCCTTTGAGGACCAAGATGTTTCTTATGAGTCAGAGTTGACTCTATTAGTTAACCTGAACACTGAGGAATATGACACTGTTTTTTTTTAACTTTTAAAATTAGGTTATAATTTTTACATGCAGCGAAGCCTAGGAATCCTAAGTGTGCAGCTCAGTGAATTTTTACAAATGTGTACATCCATATAACCATCATTCAGCTTGAGATATAGTACATTTCCAGCACCCCAGAAAGACCTTTTGAATCTTCCTAGTCAAAAATCTCTACCCAAAGGGTAACAACTATTCCCACCTCGATCACATAGAGTAATTTTGCTTGTTTCTGAACTTCATGCCACTGAAACTATGCGGCGTGTTCTCTTTTGTATGTGGCTTCTTTCATTCAACTTTTGGCCTATGAAATTCATCCATTCTATTGCATGGAACAATAATTCATTTTCATTGTTATATAATATTCCATTCTGTAAATATACCCAATTTCTTTGTTCAACTATTGTTGATGGACATTGGGTTATTTTAAGTTTGGGACTGTGTTGAATACAAATTTTGTGAACATTTTGTGTGTATGCACATATGTATACATTTCTGGGCTTATACCCAAGAGTGGAATTGTGGATCCCAAGGTATACATATGTTTAGTTTTGGTACAGCCTACCAAACAATTTTATGGTGATCAATATCACGCCCAGCATTTTTCAGCCCCTCTCTTTATTATCACCTTTCATATTCTTCCACTGGTTGTATTGTGATGGAATTAAGGAAAAAATGCTGGAATGCATGCCTTGAATTAGTTTTTTTGTTATATGCTACTATATTTTTAACCCAATTGCTGTATAAAAGAATATTTCTAAATGTTACACTGAATATATATGACATTTAAATAGCCCCATTAAAAAGTTTAGCTAGTAAAAGTTTCTGCTTATTACCATAATTATTTTGGCTTTGTTCCGACAATCACCACAGTTTCTTGATTTACTTAAGAAGCACTTCTCTCAGTTCCGTTTCTGTCTTTTCACCCGGTGGCACATGTACACATGTGTCTGTGTGTGTGTACACACACATACAGGATATGGAACAAAGCCTTGCTGCTCACAGGTAGGTGGAAGGAAGCCCAAACTGACTTCATGAGGAAAGCTAAGAACTGACTGCAGTTTTCTAAGAAATTCATTTGCACTAAGATCTCAGGTGAGGAAGAGAATTATGGAGAACAGATTGGAAGATAGCCAATCCATTCTTGTAGATCAGTGGTTTTAAAACTTTAATGGACACCAGAATTATTTGGGGAGCTTGTTAAATATTCAGACCATGGTACTCCACTCCTTCGAGATGCCAGTGTAGGAAGTCTAGGATAGGACATGGGAATCTGCCTTTAACAAGCTCCCCTAAACAGGCACTGTACATCCTGGGAACTCTCAAGCCAGACAGCAAAGACCTTTATAGCAGCACCACCTAGTTTCTTTAACTCCGCAGACTGTTTACTGGATTGTGGTTTTGACATGAGGTCAGTGGCCTAGCCTTTAGAACAGTACATGATCCATAGTAAATGCACATAAATGGTGGTAGTTGTTAGTAATGATAATTATCATTACCATTGTTCAGAAATGTTCTAAGATTATTCATATTTTGACTCTATACTTGACTAGTTTTGTGACCTTTGGGCAAGTTGCTTAAGCTCACTCACTTTCCTCACTTGTAAAAGCAACTTGTCTAGTACCTAGCACATCGTAGGCATTCAATTTAAATTAGCTCCCTTTCTGCCTTTCCTTTATGAAGAATAATTCAGGGGCCGTATGATAGTGAGAAGACATGAATGTACTTAAAACGCACAGACCTGAATTCAAATCCCACTGCTGAGTGACTTTTGGAAAGTTCATTAAACCTCCCTCTGCTTCAGTAGATTCATTTATAAAATGGAAACTGTAGCTATGGTACAGAATGGTTGTGAGAATCAAGGGTTAGCACATCGCATAATTCCCGGCACATATGTAGTAGCTGCTATTATTATTTTAATTCCTTTCTCAGAGATTAATTTTATACTTCGTCAATTCCCTTCTTTTGCAAAATTAGTAGAATTCTTACAGGATTGTCAGGAATGTGAGCATGGACAGTAAAGCCACATATCAATATCATGATTAGGAGGGGCCTTGGTAGAAATCACTACTCCACGACTTACTCTGCAAACCGTGGGTAAATTAGATTTTTTGCTACAGTTTCCTCATCTATAAAGTGGAGATAATCTTACTGTCCTCACAGGGACCGTGCGGGGATTGAAAGATAATGTGCATAAAGTGCTTATTGCAGTGCCTGGCACCTGAGCAAGCTCAGTAAATGAGCACTTCATAGAGTAGTACTTGTTTTCATTTCTTTGAGCTCATTTCATTAGGGTGCTCTGTTCATGAAATTCAAATGGAGAGTTTGAACCCCATGGAGGCCTGTTATTCCAGGGCATGTAGACTCCCCTGGGAGTCCCCTGTGGCCTCCATACTCCTCTCTAGAAGCCATGGGCACCAAAGGAGGGAGGGGCTGGGTTAAGCGGTATGCAAGCCCCTCACCGCTAGGAAGCCAGTTCATGGTTGCCAAAGTCCTGTCTGTGTTATTTTTGTATTCAGAAAATAGCAGTTGGTATTTGTAGAATTGTGGTATAACAAATTAACTGCAGCAAAAACTATTTCATTAATGGTTTCATTTTTTTTTCATCAGTTCTAAATAGTTTTTAAGCAAAGAAAGTTTGTTCCCTGACAAGTGTAATTGATAGAATTTTGTCTTTCTACATGTAGCGTAAATTTAGTGTTTTGGTCATTCGGAATTCTCCATGAGTTGAATTAAACGGGTTGTTTTAAATGATTTTAATCATCAGATAAATATTAAATATGGAAACTTAGACGATTTTGGAAATAAAATCATGGTAAATGGAAGAACCACAGAAATTTTGTGTGATAGAAATTGTGGCCAAGAGTTTATACCTCTTCACTAAGATTAGAGTGAACAGCTCTTTTTTCCTGGAACATATTTTAAACATTCTTTCTCAATAACAAACCATTGACATTTAGGATCCAATACTGTTTTTATTAAAAATTTCCATATAGAGTATATTTTAAATAATGCTTTCATTCTTATTCTTAATACCTCATACTCTATAGCACTTTTTAAAGTTCCAATTGCTCCTGATGAATTAAAGAACTTGAAATATTTCACGATCCGCTAAACTGTAGCCTTAGAGACCCCTAACATGCCAACACAAAAACCTCAAGCCTGTTTTCACAGCAGGTAAGACTTGAGAGCAATAGCCTTACTTAATTGCAGTTTCTCAACAAGAACATTGTACTTACTTGGTAGTTGTTGAAGAGCTTTATCAGTAGGCTCCAAATACTTGATTCACACTAGCGGAATAATACTAATTATGTGGGATGTATGGAGGAAATAATGTGCAGCGTTACACTGTTACAGTGTGTGAACAACAGTTACACAATACAACATAGTTTATTTTATATACGCTTCATGGTTTTCCATTAACTTTTGATCACCTTTTATCCTGAGTGCTTTGTATATGACATTTTAAAATACAGTCAAAACTAAGGACTTAAGGTGCCCTGGACTGGATGACATTTTAAGTCTCAAATTTGTAGTGTATAGTTGAGTTGTATATAACATATGATACTTTTCCCTTTATCGTTCTGTTCATTTAAACTTCTTTGTAAAGTGGAATTATGGTAATATAGAATTCAAAATCCAAAGGCTTTTCAATGAACGAAGATGATAATGATTTCCCACTGGCAAATGTATTCTCCCAGTTGGGTTGGTGGGTTTGCATTAATACATTTCCCCTAAATTCTTGAATGACACATTTATAAAATGACCTGCTCAGTGGGTCAGAGAGTGGTCTGTAGTCGTGGAACTGAACGAAGAGGAGGGAGCCCACAGAGAAATCAGATTCCTGGCTTTCATTCATCAAACATTTACTGAGTGCTTACTACTATATGTCCTGAATATAAAATGAAGCACTATCCCAGCTTCATTGAGTTCCTGGTGCTTCTAAGCAGCTGACTTTGTGCTACTCTGGCCTTACATAAATACCTTTTGCACTTCCCAGTGGATAAGGTGCTTCAGATCAGGTGCCATTTAGTAGTCAATGTGGAAAAGAGTAGTAAACCTATTTTCCTTACTCCATCTGTCCTTATCACCATTCTGAATTGTTTGGCTTTCAATTATCGAGGAATCTCAGCATGTTTTTATTTTATTCCGAATCTGAGGTATGATAGATTATTAAGGCATGATAAAAAGTCACTAATTCAGAATTAACTAATTTAGAATTTATAATTAAAACTGTAACTGGCACCATTATCATTGAAAACAGAATTTGCAAGTTACAGTACAAATGAGAGGGGAAATGCCATGCATTTGATAAACTGTCAATATTGCACATATTTTAATATGCACATATAAAAATATAATACACAAATGAACAAAGCTGTGAGTTGTTGCCTTTGCCACTACGAGCTCCATGACTTGAAGCTGTTCGGGTTTTATTTTCTACTTCTATAAAATGAAGAAATTGTTCTGTATGGTCTCTTAAAGTCAGTCTCAACTCTGGTAAGCTTTAGTGATTCCAAATTCAACAAGACAGACTCAGCAGAATCACTTTCCCCCAAAACACTTCATTAAACATTGGAGAAGTCTTAAAACATATATTTTAAAGACTACTTTATCATCCAACATGTGAGTTTTCAGAATATTTGTTCCAAATAGGGTTTTATGATATTTGAATTATATTAAAATTCAGAAAAGGAACCTGGTGTAGGTACTTAAAAGATGTAAGACAGTGAAATGATTAATTAAATAAATAAGAGCTAGGAATTAATTCATTGAACAGTGGCCATCAAGTGTTTTGCTTAGACCATCAAGAATACTTTCTTATCAAGTTACTTGCCAAATTAATTCCTTTTATAATTGAGTAGGCTGTTTTGGGTCCCTTCTGGAAAATTTATCACACACTATGGATATAGACTAAGGCCTTGTCTCCATGTATCCTAAGATTTATGGGTCTTGTACAAGATTGCATTGGGACTTTATTACCATGTTGTAAAAATTTGTTATAATCATTCTTAAACCACAGCCACAGATTAAAGTCAATGATTTCCATAAACCAATAGTTGTTTTGCTCATGTCAACTTGTCCTTTCAAGGAATATATTTAGGATACATTAAATTGCCCAATTGTGCCTCATTGTGTGGACTTGGTTGAGTTATTATCTCAAATTGTGTTTTTTGCTTTGTCTTGTTCCTACAGGTTAAAATTCTGTGTCACCAGTTGCTGGTCCAGGTGTGTGATCTACTCAGGCTAAAGGACTGTCACCTCTTTGGACTCAGTGTCATACAGAGTAAGTCTTACTTCCATCTTTGATGTATTTAGCCAATTATCCCCAAGGAAATGACATTTTATAGCTGTAACTTAAATTGGGCATATGTTATAAAATTGTGATTGTGAAAATACCCATAAACAGATCATCATTTTTAGTATTCATTTTTAGACTTAACTCTGTGTATTTCCTATAAGATTTAGAATTTTAGGTCATATATTTATTATAGTTTGAACTTAAAAATTGTATCCTCTTTAGGAGTCTGGATTTTATGTGTTTGCTCTTTTATGTTTTAATGACCCAAGCTTGATATTTTTGTTTCCTTGCACAGAGGAACAGCTGGTGCTAGTAGGAAATTAGCTTGGATGTTTTTGTAATTTAATTTGTATTATAATTTTTGACATTAAAAGGAATTTAGACATAATAAAACTGACTTTCCTCTATTCAGTTCACTTGCTATGAATTATATAAGGCAATCTATAATTTAGTCTTATTTTGTGTTTTTCCCTCCTTGCCCCTTCTCTTTTTTTCCAGTCATAGTATATGTCTTTGAGATATGGGATCAGTGTCTTCTATGCTTTATGTGGAGAAGATTTTCAAGTAAAGGTCTTCATATAAGCACTCTCGCCCCATAATACCTTAGTTAGAGTTAAGTTCCCAGGGTTTTACCTATAGCCATTCCTTACAAGCTTTCTTTTTTCAAATCACATTTTTACATTTTCCTAACTTAGTCTTCTAGATGCCAGAAACCTTTCATGTCTTTGTTCAGTTTTTCAAGGAGACTTTTTGTGGAATGTTCTATACCTGAATAAGAATTATTTTCTGCTACGGGCATTTGTTTAAATTTAAAGGCTTATGATATCTTGAGACTGGCTAGTACGGTAAGATGCTTAGATCTGTCAGGTTGGAAAATATATCATGATCACCTGGTAAACAAGGCCCTTCTCCAAAATGTGAACTGCTTTCAGTTGTCTTAATTTTAGGCGAGGCCAGAGAGCGTGGAGCAGGGAACACATCGGGAGCCAATGAATCAACCATTTGCCCTTCAGTTTCTTCCTGTGGTAGTTAAAGCAATAAAAACACAAATGCCGGCTCCATCCTTGTGTTAATACATGCCTCAGTCATTCTTCCAAGAAAGAGTCTGGGAAGAATAAGGTGCCCTATAGATTCTAAATAACTTTACTTTTATCCTACACTCAAAGTTCATTCTTCTTACTGCAGCTCCAGCCAGACGGTTGATCTTTGTTGTTCAACAAGTCAGTCTAATAAAACCAGTTTACAGCTTCCTTAGGTTTCAAAATAAGAGTTTTTAAGATGCTCTTTTTAAAAGAGAGATTGTAATATGGCGAAAGAACATTGGAATAGAAATTGGATGACCTGATTCTAATTCTGGTTCTACCACTCGCTAGCTGTGTGGCTTTAGACGTGTCACTCGACTTCTCAGTTTCAGTTTTCTCACATGTCAAACGGAAATTACTGTGCCACCTGCTTTGCAGGATTGATTTGTGCTTAAGAATTCTTAAAGTATAAAGCTCTGGTCAAACTGTCAAATGGTAGAGACATAATGGTACTTTAAAAATAGCTATGTGCTATTAGGGTGAACAGGCTCAGCTCTTTCACTACGTTGATTCTTCAGACAGGAACTCAAGCCAAAAGCAAATCAGATTCAGCAGGAAAGTTGTCTGGTCTTGTCCATTTCATGTTTAATCAGTAGCATATGAGAGATGGGAAATAGAGTTAGTTGATCTGATAAGTGGATTTAAGAAGCATTTTTTTTTTGTCTTTGGGACGTCTTTCTTCTCCCTTTCATTCAAATTAGTTGACTTAATATTGCCATTTATAGACAAAGAGTAGCTTTACCCTTCCTGTTCGCTTATGGCACTTTTCCAGTCAAACGCCAGCATTCAGTCAGGAGTGACAATGTGGTCAAGTATGTTATCGTTGGAGTAGTCAGAGAGACACACTTCCCTTCACGAGTGAGCACATTTTTACGCAGAGCTTTCTGTGAGCCTGTCCCTTTTGTGAGGGTTAGAGAAAAAGGAATACACTTTTTAAAAAAAGACTTAAAACTTTGCACAAGGCATGCTGAAGACTTTTCTTGTGAAATAAATCTCTCTTAAAAGATTTGGGAAGTATGAAGATGTTCATATTTTTTACTAGCTTATTTTCACATGTTGTTCAGATCATTATTACATGGGTGTTTAGCAGTCTCATGTTCTGTTCATCTTAAGAACATCATTCCCTTGAAGAAATATTTTGGCTCCATTCTTGTTTTGCATAAGATTCTTCTTCCCTTCCCACAAGATCAGTCCCAAAGGCAGTGTGAGTAATGGTTTATCATTTTGTCTTGCTGTGTTTTACGCAGAGAACACAAAGGAGAAACAGGCTACTCTTCACAAAGCCCTTGGAAATGGGCGGTTATCATCAATGTTCCCTAATTTCTTATACAGCAGTTAACATGGTGCTTCTGCACCGGATCAATTATTTTGCACCTGTGAGAAGAGTCTTCTGTGAGCTAAATAAAAGCATGTTTTCGTAAGACTGAGTAATGCCCACAGTGTTGGAGGTTAAACTATAAGCTGTATATAATGACCCTAGAAACTAAGTAAAAGCAGGAGTTGGAAACTAATATTTCTTCTAAATATCGCATTTTAATAGTATGTTTTCTGTATTACAAAAGCAAAATAATTCATAAAGAATCTCATCAATGTCTAGCCTACAAAACTTTTTATTTTTTAATGTCTTCTTGAGTTTTCTTGGTAATTTGTGAATTCAGCCTACATTCACAAAATCTTGAGGCCTTTTTAAAAAACCTGTTTCTTTGTATATTTTCTTTTTTTAAAAAACCTAATGTTAAAACACCTTGTCTCCTTTTTTTTTATGTGCAGATAATGAACATGTGTATATGGAGTTGTCACAAAAGCTTTATAAATATTGTCCAAAAGAATGGAAGAAAGAGGCCAGCAAGGTACGACAATACGAAGTCACTTGGGTGAGATTACATTTATGAGCAAAACTATTTTGATTTTCAAAAGGTTTATTTTAGCTATTATACATTAGAAAAGTATCAACATTTTATACAGTCGAGAATGGGAAAGGGAAGTGAATTATATAAGTTCTAAAATGCCGCATTAATGAGGTATTACTAGCTTCTAGCATATAACAGTACATTTTGGATACCTGTTTAAGTAATGTTGAATTACAACTTGTTAGTAGCCTTGAGATAATGTTTTGAAATGTAAAGCACGGAAAAAGTACATGTTCCTCTTCCGTGGCTATGTTAGATGTCAAAATTGATGTTCTAAATATTATTAGCAATTTTTGAACCTACTTTTACTGTCCTTATATTTGTTACTTTATTGTTCTGGTGCCTTTATTTAGTAAGCATCGATTCTATTTACATGGGGGAGAATTCACAGGGAATTTACCTAGTGTTTTTAGGATCACCCTAGTAAGTCAGGAATAAATCATCAGTGTCTCATCCTAGACCCTCCAATTAGTATGTAAGAATTCCTGGAACACACTGGAAGGCTACTTCAAAGCCAACTACAAAGCAAGGAACATGAATGTCTAAATAAACAAACAGCATATTAGAATTTGGTATGTGGAATATCAGAGGAACAAGAGAACATTTGTAATGAGGAGCAAATGGTCACCACAGGGGACAGAGCTGGGAGAGGAGCTAGAGCTCAGCTAGAAATTTCCACTGGCATTTATTTTTATCTTCCCTTATGTTGTCATTGGCATTACAGTGAATGGGTATCAGATAGAGTGATGATGCTTTATAGCTTCCTGCTTTGGCACGAACCTGACAACTGTCTACCCCACTGTAAGGCCAGGCTCATTAGGAATAGATAAAGCCTTTCAGTGTTTAAAAAATATCTTGTAAATAATGGTATTTTGTTACTTTTGAAATCCATTTTTGAAATAACTAAAGATAACTTGATTTTTATGTGCCTTTGTTTCAGGGTATTGACCAATTTGGACCTCCTATGATTATCCACTTCCGAGTGCAGTACTATGTGGAAAATGGCAGATTGATCAGGTATGAGGACAGGGAGAGACTAAACTTTTATTCCCCATTGCACTTCATTTTCTAACATAAATACGCCAAAAAAGTACTTCTAGCCAAGTACTTGTATGTAGTGTTTGTCTCTACCTGCTAGACTATAAATTATGTAAGAGCAGGGATTTTTGATTTTTAAAAAAATCTTTCTGCATGTATCTTCAGTTCCTACAACAGAGGTACAGCATGCCGTCAATACGTATTTGTTGAATGACTGAATGATCATGTTTGACTATTGATGAAAATGTTAATAATATCACCGGCTCACATTTTTTAAACTCCCATGTTTTCAATAACAAATCAGTCACCAAAAGGATATTTTGTTCAAGAAGGAGTTGCATTTTGTGAAGAGTGGAGAAATTGATTGAAGTGTTATATTCGTTGTTGGTGGGGGGTGGGGGAGTCGGGCAGCAGTAAGAGCTCACTCCTGTAAAAACGCATGCGTGTTAATGTAGCTTGGTTTCCTTTTCACTTTGGGGTCTTGCTTCTGTTCTTGGCAGTAGCTTTAAAGCTAAGGTTACACCCAATAGAGTTATCCTGTGAGAATCTTAGATGCAATTTGGCAAGGGCAGGTAATTGATTCTTTTTCTGGAGGTGGCTGCAAGAACGAGTCTATGTTCATGACAGAAACTCAAAATTCACTATTTCAAAAGCTCATTTTATCATTTGCTTAGGAGGATTTAGTGCTGGGAAATGGCAGAGGTGGTTTTGTTGGCTTAGAGAAAATACTAGAAATGTGAACTTTGTGTTTTACTTATTTATTTGAGAAATCCCACGTAAAAGACACTAAGAGACATTTGGCTAATTTGGCTAATGAGTTATACGTGAGATTTGCTCTTAATAGTTACATCATTGCAACATTAAATTTAAAAAGTAAAAAATATTAGTCCATAAAGAATTTTTTAAAAGGTCGAGAAACTTTTTAATGATTCCCAGTTTATATAAAAATTTTTACTCAGTTTACCTGCTGAGTATGGAATACACTAGAAAGAAGGAAAATACATTATTTAGCCACTAATTCACCACCTGGGGCTAATGAACGTTTAATTTATCCCTATAGCTCTGCCCTGTTCCCGAGGGATGAACTAGTGCAAACACTGTGTGGTCAGAAGTATAAAAAGAAGTGCTCTGAAAAGTATTTTGTCCCAAGGGGGAAAAAATTACATAAATGCTTTATTTTTAAACTCTCCATACTTAAGCACGATCTTGGTTAAAATAAACCCTTGTGTTTTTATTATCATCAACTAATGAGCTATGAATCTAGGGTAAACATTCAACCTAAGATAACTGGAAGGCAAATAAGCTCATGAAACACACACACACACACACACACACACACACACACACACACACTTTTGCTTCTTGCATTTTTGCTTTGATCACAAAGGCGTCCTATTTGCCAGTGACTTCCTTTGGAGCTTGACCATAGTTTTTCCTCAGTCAGCGCTTCTTACTCAACGTATTTAATGGGGACTATATTTATTTCTGACCTCAACAGATTGTAATGAGTGCACTATTAGCATTTCCATTTTTGAGGCGTATCATGATTGTCATAACATGTGCTTATAAAAACACACCCATGAAGTAACATCCACTTAATAATAAAAAAATTTTAAAAAGATTTAAGGAAAGCATTTTTTTAGTTCATTCATTCTGAGAGAGGGAAAAAAAAACCCACCATTTATAGCTGAATTTTTTTCTAGATGGTAATATAAACAGAAACATTTTTGAAAGGGCCTTAAAGTATTTATAATGTGCTCAGCTGAGAAAACAAAAAAGAATAGCAAAACGTTCAAGCCCAGATTGGCCCCTCAGATTTGTCCTTAATTTATGTGCTGCCGTGCAGTACAGTGTAACAAAAATATTTTAATACAAACAGCAAATGCCTAGGCTTCTATTGTAATCCTTGTTCAATGAAATAGTTACCATATTAGAGTGGAGCAATTCAGACCTTTTTCCCATTCTCTGAATGAATCCAGTGTCACAGGCCTTAGGAAACGTTGTTTTTGCACCCTGGGTAGTCCAGTGAGGCAGCAGTCGGGTACTCGCTACCACCTCCCCCTTTGCAATGAGTGGGGAGGAGGGGAGGAGGAAAGAGCAAACAGAAGAGCTCTTGTCACCAGATGGATAGCAGGATTTGGGCTCTGTTTACATGCCATTGGATTGTTCCATCAAAATGTGAGTTCTGTTTTCTTTTATTTTCCCAGTGACAGAGCAGCGCGATACTATTATTACTGGCACCTGAGAAAACAAGTTCTCCATTCTCAGTGTGTGCTCCGAGAGGAGGCCTATTTCCTGCTGGCCGCCTTTGCCCTGCAGGCCGATCTTGGGAACTTCAAAAGGAACAAGCACTACGGAAAATACTTTGAGCCAGAAGCTTACTTCCCATCTTGGGTAGGCGCTGTTTGCGGATCTTAAAGTGTTTTCTCTGCACGTTTCTGGTTCATGGTGCTCCTACTCATGTTACTTCCTGAAATGGGAACCCAGATGTTTTGTGGCCAATGAAACCTTTCATGATGCGCAAATGTAAAGTTAACTCTTGAGAGCATGGTACACGTGTGCTCTGATGTACATGGTGGTCTTATACAGTTTATGCAGGAGAAGACGGCTGTCCGCTGTAAATATAGTGCAACTTGGAATTTTCCAGCCTTCTTTTTGGCATTTACATGGCCTTGATCTTACTCTTAATTTGAGCAGCATTTCCCCCCTTTGAAAGGAGAAAAACACTACTGTTTAAAAGGTAAGATCATTCACAACTTTCCCTGAGAAAACAAACACAGGTGCTCCTCAATTTATGATGGGGTTACTTCCTAATAAACCCATTGTAAGTTGAAATGTCATGAGATGAAATGTATTTAATACAGCTAACCCATCAAACATCATAGCTTAGCCTAGCTTTCCATAAATGTGCTCAGAACACTTACGTTAGCCTACAGTTGGGCAAAATCATCTAACACAAAGCCTATTTTATGATGAAGTGTTAAATAGCTCATGGAATTTATTGAATGCCATCCTGAAAATGAAAAAGAATGGTTGTATGAGTACCCAGTATTAACGAACACAGCTGAAAGCCTGAACACAGCCTGGAGTATCTTTGAAGCACTGAACTAAAAAACAAAACAAAACAAAAAAACGCTGGTAACACAGTATACTGCAGAGTATCGTTACCCTTGTGATCGCATCCCTGACAGGCAGCTGTGGCTCCCTGCCGCTGCCCAGCATCATGAGAGAATATCATCCCATATATCGCTAGCCTGGGAAAAAATGAAAATTCCAAATTTGAAATATGGTTTCTACTAAATGCGCATCGCTTTTGCACCATCGTAAAGTTGAAAAATCATAAGTTGAATCATTGTAAGTCGAGGACCCTCTGTATAAGTAAATTCCTTGCTCCGACAGCCATCTCCTTCATTCCCAGGAGGGGAACCACCCCCTTACTTCAGCAAGAAAACTTATTCCAGCAGGAACTGTCTCACCTGTCCTTTCTCCACCCCGCCTTGTCCATATCTGCTCCCATCCTTCCTCCAGGTCTCAACTATAACTTCTCTCTCTTCTGTATCTCAAGGCTCTGCTGAAACTAACTCTTCTTCAACCAGGACATACGTTTGGTTTGCATCGCCCCATCCTCAGGAAAGAGAGGAGGAAGGGAAAAGAGCTGCCTCTTTCGCCTTCCCTTCTCAGTAAAGCTTCTTGAAACAGTAGTGTAGGTTTGACTTTCCAGCTTCTTTACTTCCCACGTGTACTCAAGCCACTTCCATCTGCCTTCTTTCCCCACCAACTCCACTCAAGGTGCTGTCCCTAAGGTCACCAGTGTCCTATACATTGCCAAATCCAGTGGACACTTTCACTTCTTTTCCTGAATTTCTCGGCTGCATTTGACACTTACTCAACCCCTGACATCCTTGGGCGATCTCATCCAAATGAATGTTTTTAATAACCACTTATATGCTGGCAACTTCCAAATGTTTCTCTCCCGTGTCCGTGAGATAGCTGTTTACCCATAGGCATCTCAAACTCAAAATGTGCCAAATCAAATTCATCTTCTTCCCATCTCAGTTCTGTGTACCCCTACTTCCGTGTTCCCAGTGTCAGCTAGTGGCCCTGCCACCCACCTGCTCACCCAGAAACTTGAGTGTCATGTGGAACTCTCCTTATCACCCTTCTTTCTCCCTGCCCCATCCAGTCAGCGGGAACATCCTCTAACATAAACACTTGATTACCCATCACCCAGCTTAAGAAATAAATTCTCTTGTATTTTTATTGTGAACTTCCTAAATGTCTGTGATGTGACCCCCCATCACTGTTCCTCTTATTTCCCGGTTCCAGCTCTCATCAGCACCGCACCCCATCACTGTGGAGGTTTGTCCCTGCTCCAGCCTTGACCCCACAGCTTGCAGATGCGTTCATTGTGCTTCTGATGTAAACCTTCAGGGGCTCCCCTGTCACCTGCCCAGGTTCCCGGGCATGACTGAGGAACTTTCCAGGATGTGGTCCCTGCCAGCCTTTCCAGCTTCCTCTCTGATTGTCCTGTACCTTGAGTTCTACGCTATAGCCATGTCCAGCAGCTCTGTGTCTCCACGCCTCCTGGGGTGGTTCACGCTGCTGCCTTTTCTTCCTCTGGTTCCTTTAACCTTTGAAGCCCCTCTCCCTGTTTGACCTGGCTAACTTCTCATCTTCCAAGACTCAACTCAGGTGTGGTTCCCTCTGGGCAGGCTGTCCAGAGGAGGCAACCCCTCCTTTGGGCTCAGTAAGACCCAGGATGTATGTGTCTCACATCTTATTTTCAAATGATCTGTTTGTCTACCAGTAAACTGTTTCTGAGTATGTTCTAAAGGACAGGCATAAATTTAATCTTCCCTGTTTCTTCAGCATTTGACATTGAGATGCTCAGTGTAAGGTTTGTTAACAGTGCTTCAGTTGTTGAAGGGCAACCACAAAAGGTGTCAAGCTTTTACATGTCAATGTGTGTTGAACGAAAATTAGCCTGTGTTTACATTCCCTAGTTGCCACTGGGTACTCACTGAACCTCGGTCATTTAAATCAGAGATTCCCAATAAGTGTGCCGTGGTATCTGAAGTGCCAGATAGCAGTGTCCTCAATCTGTGGGATCATCACAACCCCTACGTCATTGCCCTTACAAGTATTTCCTGTGTGTTCTTTGACCTGAGAAAGGTTAAAGCACTGGTTTAAATGATCTCCATGTAAAAGGCATCTAGAAAGAAAAATCTGTAATTGAAGTTCTCAGCAAACCTTGATAATTGGCCAATAATTTATCATGTTTTATTCAATAGGAAGAAACAAAATGTCGGTGTCTATAAAAACATTTTAAAACTAAAAAGTGTTCAGTTTTTTGTTCTGATGATTTTAAACACTATTCTTTTTATTCACTTTTTCTTTCCACATTTTATAATCCTATGAAATTAGCTAGAATCTTCAATCAACACCTTTCTCTTAGCCTGCAGCTCCTGGATATGCTATATATTTTTGACATCTAAAAGCTCAGGCTACTGTCTGATGAGAATATAAGCCACAATGAATTGCAATGACTATATGAAAGAAATCGTTTTCTCTTAAGTATTCAAATAGGGTGTTCATATCAGCCTCTTATGCAAAAACCAAACATGTTTCACAGAATTCCTTGCAGCTCCTCTGCCTTCTTTGGATTAACATGTAGAATCTCCCACTCTGTGGTTATAATTTTTGAAGAGGTTTAAGTAGGATTGAGAACCTGAAGATGTGCTGACAGGGGATGTATTTCACGGTACCAATAATTTTGCAAATGTCACCAAATGGTGTAGACAAAATTTTGCAAGTTTGCATGTTTTTTGTTGTTTTTCTTGGTGAGTTTAAAGCCAAGAGAACATGTTTTTCCCATTTCTTGTGACTTTTCTTCTTAGATATGCAGTACTACAGCTAAATTAAGTTTGCTGCTTCTAGTATTAGCTGGTTCAGCCTAGTAGCATAACCGATGGTGAAAGCCGTAAAAGTGGGAATTTTCTAATAGGAATTAGCCAATTTACAGGGCCTACTATAGGTCCTGTCCTTTCGTCATTTTAGGGGTGAGGGTAGTATTTACATCCCTCCAACAAATGTTGCATTGCACACCCATTGTATTCCAACAGGTTGTTTCCAAGAGAGGGAAGGACTACATCCTGAAGCACATTCCAAACATGCACAAAGATCAGTTTGCACTGACCGCTTCTGAGGCTCATCTTAAATATATCAAAGAGGCCGTCCGACTAGATGACGTCGCTGTTCATTACTACAGATTGTATAAGGTACAAAACGGCAGTGAGTCTACAGCTTTTGAGAAAAAAATACCTTCTCCATCACGAGAAGCTTTTATTGAAAGTTCTCATTTCACTTTTCAATGGGTTTTTAAAGGTGTTTCATGTAACCTGCTGTCATCATAGGTCAGTCTTGGAGTCAGTGATGCTTTTTCTTGGGCCTGGGAGCAGGATGGCATCTTTTTTAATAGTTCTAATATTGCGATAACAAGCGCCTGCAAATTGTGAACCTGGTTTTTCAGTGATAAGAAATAGTTAGTTTTCTCCTTCCCAAATCTGCATTTCTGCCTAGGGGAGTAACATCGGCAGCGTGTTTGATCAGTAATTTTAATATTCCTCAAAGTGAAGTCATACCTGCATTGTATCAATTAATAACAAGGACATCACCACAACAGCTAGCGTTTATTAAGTACTGTGTTTATGGGGCACTCTTGATCCTTTTTTCAAAACCCTCACAACAGTAAAGTAGGAACTGTAATCTTCATTTTACAGACTTGGGAACAAACTACAGACCACAAAACTAGTAAGTGGCAGAGCTAGGATTCAACCCAGGTCTACTTGAAGACAGAGCCTGTGTGCTTTCACCACTTCCTTCACTTCCTCTCTTTTGTGCCCTGTGTAGTGCTAGCCTCGGTTTTTTCCAGAGGTCAGAGGTCACACACCCAACTAAGCACTGGGACCAGGCTCTGCAGGGAATCACACAGTACTGTGTATCCTCTCTGTCTTCTCTTCCCCCTACATGCCCACTCCTCTCTCTATTTCACAAGTGTCACTTCCTTGGCGAGAACCCCTGAGTTCCCACCTACGTATATTCGGAGGTATATTCTCAAACGAAATAGGATGAAGTGGTTCACAGTGTGGTCTATTGAGCCTAACTTCTGGGATTGAATCCTAGCTTCACCTCTTACTAAGTGACCTTAGGCAAGTTACTTAATCTATCTGTGCTTTGGTTTCCCCATAGTTAAATGGGGATGGTAATATACATATCTCCGAGCTTTACTGAAGAATTGAAGGGTAGTAGGTGAAAAGTGCTTCAAACAGTGCCCAGCACATATTAAGCATCATGTTAAGCTGTTACCATTATCATTATGCTGTTATCATTATCGTTGCTATTATGCTTGTTATCATTACCATACCCTTCGTGGTAAGATTAGCATTACTAGACCATTGGAAATTGAACTGTAGTTTGGATATATTGATGGGTGATCTTCCTGGCTGATTCAGAAAACGTAGGCACCAAAGAGTGGTATTTTTTCTCTCTTCCATGCCCAAGAGATCCATTGTTAATGTCCTGTCATCTTTGAAAGTCATAATTGAGTTCTATAAGATCCCTTTAGCTAAATTCTTAAAGGACTGAGTTGTTATTTTTTTTCCTTAAGAGATTTTATTTGTAACACTTCAATTTATATGAGAAAATGCAAATAAATTACAATTTTGACAGTCGGTTTATACGTTTAAAATGTATTGGAGGTGTTAATGATGTATTGAAAAGAGTGTGGCTTTGGAATCAGATATCAGTTAGAAACCCTGCATCACTAACCATTAATACTGGGATTCTAGGCAAATATAACTATAATCCTGGGCCATCTATTAAGTGGAATAATTCTATACATTTCACACGGTTGGGCAGATTCTGTGAGATAATGAATCTGAAATAACCAGGCGGAGTACCTGGCACATTAGTGAATATTCAATAGATATGAATTACTTCTTATTTGATAGGGAAGCTTAGTATTTTATAGAATCCTTTAATGAAGTAGGTATCCCCAATTTATCTTTTGTGTGAAAATTAATCTTTCGAATTTACTTCAAGTGTGGTACTTCTACATGGCATAGAAAATTACTCTTCTTAAAATAAGATAATTAATAATGATGATGTAACTAAACAAAGTGGGGAAATAGATGTTGTTATCTCATGGGCAGAGTTTTCATTTTTTGGAGAACTCAAGTGACAGCCATTAAGACTGCTTCATTTCGGGGGTGACCGGTTAGCTCAGTTGGTTAGAGCGTGGTGCTGATAATGAACACGAAGGTTGCTGGTTTGATTCCAGCACGGGCCACTGTGAGCTGCGCCCTCCCTAAAAGAGTTAACTATGTCTTTGTAGCATGAAAGCAATGTGTAACCAATGACCATGACTGTTCCCCAGTAAAATTTAAAAAAATAAAAATTAAAAAAAAAACTGCTTCATTTCATGCCTGCTTATAAAATGGAAGTAAGGTAGACAGAGGACAGGAAACATTCTGGGGAAAAAAAATTCTGTACCCCTTTTCCAGCACTACACACCTCATACATGCACGACCAACATTTTTATGAGCACAGCCTTATTTCAGGAAGCAATCAGAATGGCCTTGAAAGGGAAATTGGCCTAAACGCATAGTGATGGATTGGTTTCACCTGTTAAACCTGTACTATATGTGCTTTTCCTTTTGTAAAAATATACAGCTGGAAAAAAATCCAGCCCAAATAGTGAAAATAGGCTGTGTCTCCTCTTTTCTATGCCAGGTGAGGTTGCATTTTCAAAAAATATTTCTTGGCCATGTTCATGGGAAAATTGGTACTAAACATCATAAAAACATGTACATATTCATTTATTGTTTCTATTGAGAAATCTCATAATGAAAATAGTCACTTAGTAATTTTATTTATCTTTTATTTTAAAAGCTTCATATTTTATATTCACTTATTACAGATTAGCACTTAAAGGATGTGCCAAATTTCTGAGTACATTCTTAATTGTACAATTTTTTTTTCCTTATGTAGTTTCCTTATTTTTTACAGTTTATAGTTTAGCTGTTAGAATATATCATATTGGCAAATAATCACTGAACTTCTTAAAAATAAGTACTTTTTTTCCAAACTAACTGAATATAAAGACTTTACAGCTTTATTAACTATCATGAGAGAAATATATAGGCTTGCCTCTAATTTTAGCTTCAGGGCTAAGATATTTATCCAATTTGAAACAGATAAAGTCTAGTGCATCTGAGAATATAACTGTGACATTAGATTCAAGATTCAAACACCTGAGAAAAAGTTAAGCATTGATGGACGATAAGAAAAAAAGAGACAAAAGCAGCAAAAATAGTCTTGTTTATTGGAGCACTCAAGAATGTAAATATTTAGAATATTGTCAGATATGAAAGTGTATTGAGTATAGTAAAAACACGAATGCCCTGAAATCTCAGGGATTTAAAAAGTATAATATACCAGTATTGATTTACTGTGTGCTTATGATTTTCTTAAAGCTTGTAGAAAACTAGGGATGCAAAAGATGAGCAAAGTTATCTGAAGTGAACATTTTTCCAGTCCTGACATTTATCTTCCTTTTTCTTTTCTTGAGCGCTGAATTGTCCATTGTAGAAGGAAAATAGACTTTTTCATACAATTTTTATTCCTGCAGGATAAAAGGGAAATTGAAGCTTCTCTGACTCTTGGATTGACCATGCGGGGAATACAGATTTTTCAGGTTAGTAAATGAGAAATCAGTGTCAAATAGTATCCACTATGTCTAACATTCACAATATGCCTGTGTGGTCCTGTGATAGGTCCACTGGTCTGTTTCTGGCCATGGATTGGTCATTACTTCCTATTTGTCTAGCACAGGTGTGGATGGTGTGAGATAGGCGAAGTGATGCCGTCTAAACCTTGACAGTAATAAGTGCTCTAACAGAGAAAACAACAAGCCAAAGAGTGGACCTCATTCATCACTAACAGATTGTTAATGTCCAAACATTTTTCTTTGTGTGTCATTGATTTTAAATATCTTCTTTTATCCTCTGGAACATTTATAATTGTGTAAAGAAAAATGACGTATTAATACAATGCCTGGCCAGACATTTTGATTTCCGTTACACTTTTGTGGTAAAGTTTGCCCCTTGAATAAGTAGGTGGGACGGTGTTATCCTACAGTCATCAACAGGGGAGAGAAAATGCTTCTTTGTGTGAGACCTAGGAAAACAGAAGGATGTCTGATCTTTGATGTAGGTAAAAGATGCAATTATGAAAGTCTGAGTGCCTTATCTCTTGAATGCCTGAGTCTTTTGGGCATTTTATTTAAATTTAAGGATAGTCCAAAAGAGGAAAGATTGTCTAAAAGGGCCAGTTAATGCAGCCTCTCAAGAACCAAAAGCTACAGAAATGTATCATTAATCCTAATTACTGTCTGCACATCTCCAAAAAGAGTTGAGGACCTCCTTCCAATTTTAATTAATGTATTTTAGTTTTCTGGGAGAGAAATTAGAGCCATTTTGGAATGTCTGTCAGTTTCATCAGTAACTCTATATGCATTATAACTCTTTCCACAGAATTTAGATGAAGAGAAACAATTACTTTATGATTTCCCCTGGACAAATGTTGGAAAGTTGGTGTTTGTGGTAAGTTTAAAATAACTGACTAAAGTAAATTACTCAGTTGGTTTTTTCTTTTGGATTTTTGTTGTTTCTTGGTTTTTTAAAACAATATCCTCCCTTGCATAAAAGTTGATATTTTTAAAAGTTGACTATGAAGATAACTAGCTTTCTAATATTCATATGCATGTACTATAATCCTTGTCACTCATCAGTAGTGGACCTAAAATTAAAGAATTTTATAGCAAAATAAATAAATAAATTTTAATTTGTGTGTCTGGTCCCCACCATACTACCTAACCTAAGTTATTCTAGTTGCAGAAGAAATGTGAGAAAAGTACAAGATAAGTTCATCACATAGAATTATTTTGTAAAGCCTGCAGCAGAGGGATTACAAAACAGAAAGCCGTAATCACAGGGTAAATTATTCTTAGTATGGGGGTTGGCCAGTTCTTTTAGAAGTTACTTCTTTTGAACAAAGAATAAAGAGTGATATAAAAAGATGTTTCTATTAATATCTGACTCTTTGAAACTCATCATTATAAAGAAAAGTCTACAATTCTTCACAGGAAAAATACTTTTCTTTTTAGAATATTAAGAATGATACTTCTTTTTTGTTAGAGCATATTTATGATTTTTCTAGCTGTTTTTCTACTTTGCCTGTTATATCCATTTTTTGGTAGGGTTCAAAAAATTACAGTTAATAATGTGTATATCTAGTGGTCATTAAAATCCACAATTTTTCTTGGTTCAGAAATTACTGAAAAAAATACACTGAGAAAGGAGGAAGATACACATGGGCTTCTCTCCCATAAGGAAGATGGCCTATATAAATAAAGAGCTATTATAATTGCCAAATAGCATTTGGGCACTGATTCCACACTCCCCTGTGAGTCAAAAGACCTGTTCCTGACTTTACATTACTTTAATTACTTGGGCACAATTCAATCTGATTTCACCTTACTCATACATTAAGTGGGGCCTGACCTGCCTCCTCCTCACTGGCTCGCTTTCATTCCAGCTCTTTGTGAAAGGCTCTGAGCTGTTTGAAAGTGAGCAAATTAATACCCCACTTGCCCCTTTCATGTCCCAAATTAAGTAGTAATAAAATGCATTTATGAAATTGAGTGTTTTGAGGGTCTTGGACTCAGTGGTTTCTGAGTGTAGTTGTGCATCAGACTCATCTGAGGAGCTCGTTTAAGATACAGATTTGGGGGGCTTGTCCTCTCCTAGAGATTTTTGATTCAGCAGATGTGGGTGGGAGACTAATCGTCAACTTTGACAAACCAGATGATTCTTCTAGCCAGCCCAAGCAGCCCTGCCTAGCTGTGTGACCTTGAGCAAGTTACTTAACCTCTCTGTGCCTTGGTTTCTTCATTTCAAATTGGGGATAATTGGCTGTCCCCCATAGACTTATTGTGAGGATTAATGAGTTAATACCTGCTTAGTGCTTATTAAGTATCAGCGATTACTGTTCTGTTGTAGCTTTGGAATCCACTGATGGTTTCTTTAAAATCAAAAGCCTGGAGGTGAAAAATTCCATCCCTGTTTGAGTTACACAAACCCATATTGCTTAGTACCGACTTTAAGTGTCCAGTTAGAATATGCCTCTATCTTTGCTTTACCTCTCCCCTCTGGCTGAGAATCATTGTGTCTGGCATATTCCTTTTTGTGGCCCTGCTGCCCTCTTCATTATTAGCAAAGTTAAAGGAATTCATAATATTCCATACCAATCAGGAACTTTGCCAACCTCTCACCCTCAACTTTGAACTTTCTGTTAATGATCCCAGACTTAAAGAATGAGATTCCTTATATCTTTACTGATAGATACTTATACTACTTATCTCTTCTTCCTCTTTCCTGTCTCATCCCTCCAACTGTTCCTGTAGCTTCCAGCTCCCTTTTTTATCCAGCTAGAGGAGTTTTATATTTTTTTCTAAACCCTAAATAGGTATCCTGTATTCACATTCATAATTCTATTTTCTTCCTACAATTTATCATAAACTGTAATTATTTGATGTGTTTATTGGCCATCTCTCCCACCAGACTGTACCTCCATGAGGGTAGGGACCTTGTCGGTCCTAGTCACTGTTATCTTTCTCGGTGCCTAGCACAGTGTTCGGTACACAGCAGCTGTTAGCTAATATTTGCATGCATTACGTTTCTAGAATTTGTTTGCCGAGTTGGGGTGCTGATATTGCATTTGAGGATGCTTTCATGATGAGCCCTTCTCTTCTCCATTATATAAATGGCCTGGATCAGCCAGAGACACCAAAGATATTCTTCAGCTGTCATACCCAGTCAGTGTTTCCCAGATGACCCTGGCTAGACTCTTCCCTGAATTTGGGGGAATCCTCTGCCCTGTCATTTTTAAAAGGGAAAACAGCAATTTATCTCCCAGCAAACTTTGGCACTTTATATAGTAAGTCCTCGCTTATCATCAGAATAGGTCCATCAACTTTAAGCAGAATGACATATAGTGAAAACAGTTTTGCGAAAGACTAATAGGTATAAACGAGAGTTAAGTTCCTATAGCATCTCCTCAGTGGTAAAACAAAACGCCGTTATTTGAGGACCTGCTGCACATCTGTTTCTAAATCTGTAGTTTTCCCTACTAAACAGAAAACGAAGGGGACCTTGGCAAATCAGAGACTTTTCTTCCCAAACCTGATTTATGCTTTCCCTCCAAAGGGTAAGAAATTTGAGATTTTGCCAGATGGATTGCCCTCGGCCAGGAAGCTCATCTACTACACGGGGTGCCCCATGCGCTCCAGGCACCTCCTGCAGCTGCTGAGCAACAGCCACCGCCTGTACATGAATCTGCAGCCTGTCCTGCGCCACATCCGGAAGCTGGAGGAAAATGAAGGTACGCAGGGTCTTGGATGGGGACAAGATGGTGACTTTGCCACCTGTGGCTCCTTACTCTATAACTGCCATGAGCTGGGGTCTTAGGGTCCTGAAGAGTGAGTCTTGGGGACCGCGCCTGTCCAGATTCAGAGTAGCATCCCTGTTTACGTCTCAGCACCATTCTAGAAGAAAGGGAGAGCCTTGAGCCCAGCAGCCACGGCACCTGCTGAAACATCTGAGATTATCCCTGTCATTCACCTGCCCCTCGAGCAGTCTCTGTAAAGTTTCCCCACCCTTCGCTCAAAAATCCTCACAAAAAGCCACCACGTGAAGATGCAGGCCGAGGTTTATCTGCATCTCAGAGCTCTGTATATACACTGACTCACCTTGGCTCTGTTTTCATGGGCAGTGTGAAACTCTGTCCAGCACAGGCAGGTCACAGAAATGCCTCCAGTCTCTCTTAATGACTGCTGGAGGCCCCCAAGTCTGGCTCAGCAAGAGTGACAAACAAAGGAGAAAAAAGTTTTTATTTGAGGATTTTATCACCCAGTCCTGTGGGGTCTTTTCCTGAGACACAGAATAGAACAGTCTGTTTGGGGCCCCAGAGTCCTGGCCCTGAAAAGGGGGACACCTTATGGTGAGGAAGAGGAAGGCAGGGATGGGACTTCTAACAGCAGGTTTCAACTTCACACATTAACCTCATGGTTAGCCCTTTATCTTGAGTTTGTGGTGCCCTGGGGTTACTCCTTTTAACACACTCCAACTTCTAATCCCCCAAAATGCTATTTTGCATGTTTGTTTATTTTCTAATGTCTTCAATTTGTTTTGCAAATTCATATGCTAATTCTTAGTAATTTGATTAGATTAGTAGATTTGAGGTGTTTGCATGATCATTAGGATGTAGATTCGTATCTTAGGTCCATGTTTGAAACACATTTTGGCCTCCCAGACCCCACCTTTCCTACAGAAACGAGACAAATGCCTGTCCTCTCATTACAAGCAAAAAACCTTATAGAGGTTTGCGCAGCTGATTGATTTCTCCCAAAAGCTGTCTCTATCTAAGTGAGACCCAGTTTGGAGATGTCACAGTAATTTAAGAAATGATTAGAACATGAATCATCTCCCACTGTCTGCCACCAAACTGCATCTGTCTTCTGAGAGAATTGATGAAACTGTCAGGCGTATTGGCTTCTTTCACTACCAGACTGCCAGCTCTTCCCCACATGAGTCATTGATATAACAAATGCGTCTTTCCCATGCTGACATGAATATTCAGAGGAATTCAGACGGAGTGCCAAGGAAACGTGTGAGCGTAGGTGACTTACTTAAGTGCAGAGGTCATCATCTGCCAAGTCAGCCTCATTCCTGATTGGTGCCTTGAGAAGTTCATTCATTCCATCCACTCCCTGCTAGCAGCATTTCAGTAAATTCTTGTTTAGGTGACCCTAATGGAAGCTCTTCAGAGCCTAAAAGAATTAATAAACCTCCCTTATAGGTCTAAGGCAGCGGTTCTCAACCTGTGGGTCGCGACCCCTTTGGGGGTCGAACAACCCTTTCACAGGGGTCGCCTAAGACCATCGGAAAACAAAAAGATATTTACATGACGATTCATAACAGTAGCAAAATTACAGTTATAGAGTAG